CATCAGGCTTGATGATGTCCAAAACTAAGTATCTCACAAGCCAAAATAATAAATGTCCTAAAATCATAGTTGTTTCTTATTGGAAATTTTAATAGATAACTTCTAGTCCATTCAATAGAAACTGTTAAAATTTAAAAAGAAGAAAACTTTCAAATAGTAATTAGTAACTAGTGAAACAGATTATTGATATATGAAAAATACTTTTAAATGTGGACTTAAACCTGACTGAAGAGGAAACTGGAAGTCAACATAGGGAATTAGTGTTTATACAGTAAGCAACAGGGACTTACGGGTTTTTAAGCAGATGTGTGTCTTGCTGGAGACAGTGCTCAGGGAAAATTATTCTGAGGGTAGATGTAAATTAGATTAAAATTAGAGCAATCATGATTAAATCTGTTAGGAGGCTGTTATAAGAATGCACGCATGAAATGATGAGGGTCCGATTTATGCTGTGTTTTCCACAGGAAACTGAAAACTCACCCCTACAGAAATCCCTTTGGCAGAATTTTCTATGGAACCTTGTGGGTGCAAACTCTCACTCTTCTCACTCCTACATCTCCCCAATTGTGTACCCACTTCTGGTGACTTAGATTCATCTACACACCTCTATCCCTGGCCTGACCTGCTCCCATGATTTTAGTCCCAGTTTTTGGAACCATCATTGTTGCCAGGTTTGTCTCTCATCGCTTGTCTCACCTCTGCCAACCTGGATTCCTTCTGTAGGTTCTCCTATGACTTGTGTTATTCTGCTTTCCCGTCATTACAGTTTAATTCTCAGAGCTTTACTTAAGTGGCTGTCTGTTCAGGAACGAGTACATTATCCTTTTGTAGTTCCTGACCTCCTGCACTCACCATCTGTCCATTCCAAAATCCTTGCTGACCCAGCTCAACCCTTAGGTCATGCCAAAAAGAAGAGGTGAGGACTGAGCATTGAGAAATACACAATCATTAGCAGACATAAAACCCAAAAAGGAACTCTAAAATAGAGGTTTGAAAGGAAGAAGCGTATCCAGGATAGTATAAAGTCACAGAAGCCAATGTACTGCACAGAGTCTGAAAGAAAGTTCAGAAAGGAACCAATAGTTAGTATTTTTTATACCATTACTACATGTAATGAAGACTGAAGCACCATTTTAGAGAACTAGAATGGGAGAATCAATAAAATACTTATGTTTAGTTCCATTTGTAAATGTTGTTTGAACAAACAAGCACACATTTTATTTGCCTATAACTCCCCAGGTAGATTCCTTCATAAAGTACAGAGGAGGTTTTTTGTGTGTTTTGGGAAGTTTTGTGTGCTTTTTTTTTCCCCCAGAATCTTAGTCACATTAATCAGGTCCCAATGTTCATTCAAAGGAAGATGAAACATGTCTTGGAAAGAAAGGACATGAGCCACATTGGGGAAATGAAGGGTAAAGCCAGGAGCTAGTGTATATCAAGACTTTAATAAGAAAGTAGATCTGAAAAGAATTGTCAGCAAGACAATAAATATTCTGGGATATTATTTTCTTCTAAATCTCTCAATGCTATGAGTACATTATATATTATTTATTTTGGCATTATTTACTGGTCTAATGTAGCTTCTGAGAATTGAGAGTTCTATCCAAGGAGTGCTAGTTGGCTGAAGAAGCAGACAGGTTTTCAGTCATCAACTGCTGCATAACAAACCAAAACTTAGTGGTTTGAAACAACAATGATTTATTGATTCTCATAATTCTCTGTGGGTTGACTGGGTGATTTTTCTGTTGGTCTCACCTGGACTCACTCATGAAGCTTCACTCAGCTGGTGGTCAGGTGAGACAGGTGGGCCTCTCTCCACTATTACCCCTGGCTTCTTAAGGGCATGGTGATCTCAGGGCATTGTTCCAAGAGGGTAAAAGAGGCTGAAAGGATTAAGGACTAGTCTTGGAAGTTGAACAGTGTCAGCTGCCACATTTCTGTGAGTCAAAGCAAGATACAGGGGCAGCCCATTGAAAGAGTGGGGAAAATAGTCTCCATCTCTTGATGGGAGAATTAGGCAAAGTTACATTGTAAAGGGGTATGAACATGGTAGTTGTGATTTATGGAGGCCATTGTTACAGTCTACCACAGTCTACTCTCAGGCCCCAATGATTCACATCTGTCCCACGTGATTCTCACCCCTTCTAATATTGCCCAAGACTCATCCAGTCATAGCATTAGGCTCAGAATCTATGATCTCATAATGTGCATCAGGTTAAGATGTCAGTGAGACTCCTTGAATATAGTTCCTTAGTTTCAGACACCTATAAAATAAAAAGGCAAGTTATCCTCCATTCCCTCATATACCCAGTGTATATTGGAGAAATAGAAAACCATGCTACACTAGACACTGCTGTCTAAAAAAGGGGAATGAGGCATGTGTAACAGTCACTGGTCCATGGCAATTTGGAAATCCAGCCAGGTGCATGTTGGCAGGTTTCTCTGCTTCAAGGGTAGGCAGTGTTCCTTGATGAGGGCCCTGTTCTACTCTCTTGGAGTAGTTCTCTAATCTTTTATTTTCCTTGGCTCTTGGAAACACCCTCTGGGCTCTTGGCTCTGACCTCTGATATCAGTACTCATAGAGGGAAGTGATAAAACAGTGGAACAGGTCTCCAGCAATCACCAGTGTTCCTCAATTGATATTTAAAAGCCTACAAGAGAGCCTGGTGCAAGATACTGTTGGTAGCAGAATCTGTTCCCCAGTAGCCAATCAAAACTTCATTTTCTTTAGGTGAAAACCTAAAAGCCTGAAGTTTAGAAAAGACATATTTTTGTTGTTGTGCATCTTCTGCTGGAAATAATGACCAACTTTTATATTCTTTTTATGTTTTAAGGTATTAAATACATTGTTCCTTCAGTTACATTCTTACACCTCCTCCCATTTCACTAATTCTTTTATCTACATTTTTATCTACACTTACCCTACCTTTAATAATTGCTTTTAGCCTTGTAATTTTCATGTTAATATCTGGCCACTGACAGCTTGATTTTCTGGTCCAGTGTATAATACAAATGTTATTCCACTTAATATCCATAATTTTCTCCTCTTGCTCTAATACACATGACACTTTGTACTTCTTGTTCTGTGTATTTTCTGTGCATACTCACTCTAATTTTATTCTGTGTACTTTGGGGAGTATAACAATGGGAATATATCAAATCACATTGCTTTTTCCAGTTTACTTTTTCTAGTTGTGATAATGGAGATTAAAAATTGCTAGACATTTACTGTAGCTATAATATTAGTCACATTGTCTGATTTCTAATACACAAATATAATTAGGCTAAGTAATTTGTTTTGAAAAAAATGCCTTAATTGAGAGAGAAGTCATATTATAGACAAAGCATTAATAAATTCTAATTAAGTCTCTAATAATGCTTTTTCTCCATGGTCCTTTTAAAATACTAATTTACATATATTATTATCTTGAAGGCATCTTAAATCCTTTAAGGAAGTAGGCCTTCTTTATAATAATCACAATCATAATTATATGTAGAGCTAACATTTATTAAGCACTAAATATGTATTAAGTACTGTACTAAATACTTTACATAGATTATCTTATTCGATTACCATAACAAATTAATGAAACAGATACAAAATCAGAACTAGCATACAGGCCTGTTTAACTCAAAGGCCACATGGTGGACCATTGCGCTATATTGATCGATAATGAGTATGAGTATCCATGGCCCCAAAATGATCATTTGGCAAACTTGGGATAAAGGAAGTTTCATTTACAATAACATTCTTATTCTGGCATAATTTATTTTACATCCTGAACCTGAAAAGAGCAATCCTATATAATATATAATTTTAGGAAATATGTATAATCTTTAAAATATTTTCATATGCTTTATATTAATGTATTTGTCACCATGAAGTTGTTGAATATTTATTTAGAATTTGCCTATTGTTTCCCTAGTTTGACAGAGGACTAAACATCAAACAACGTGGAATCAGTTCTATAAGGTCTGGCTTACAAAGCAAACAGAAAAGACATAGAATTGTGAGGCCAAATACTAAAGTTCAGCAGTGAGAGAAAGAATAAAACATTTCAAATTAATAAACATAATATCAATGATAACATTAAAACATTCATAACCTGCTCTTGAAAGTATAAGCTCACAACTTTTGGAAATATAAAATTTTGACTATCCATATTTGTCTTGAGTCAAATTCTTCAGTCTATAAAGTGAACATATCACATATATGCATGTTTTACCTCAGGAAGTATGTAGGGTCATTTTTACAGTGCATCAAATAATTTTTTTAGTAATGGAAAATTTATCAGTCCTACTAATGTAGTAGACACGCCATGATGTGACACCCTGTTATATCAGGTTTTCAAAGACTTATTTTTCTGAATATGTAAGTTAAGAAACTTTAAGTCTTTGTCAAAATGAAATATACCAATGACTATATATGTATTCTATATGGTATATATATGTATGTTCTATTCTTTACAAAAAGATTTGTTAAAAAATGCTTATGAAAATTTTCTAAAATTTCAAAACCTGATATAATCATACTAGCCTACATTTCTCAGATATTTGTATCATTCAACTATATTAATTTTTAGTATCCCTCTGACATATGAATCCATGTATAAATATATAAAAGATTATCTTCCTATGTTTTAATATTCTTTATTAATAAATGACATTTATTTACATGGATACATTTTAATTAAGTTGTAGCTCAGAAAGTTTTCTATTGTAATTAGTCTATTATTTGTAGAACTCTTTCATATTAACTCAATTTCAGGATCCTTGATTAAAGTATTTAGATTGTCTCTGGTGTCAAGTTACATCTGAAAAATTATCCGTGAAGGAATTATTTTGTACCATGTTACTGGTAACTTTAAATTTAAATTATTTTCCACTATTATTCTTAAGAGTTCTAAAAGTTATCTAGAAAGTTTTTTAGTAAGAAATGATTTAGTGAAATGTAAAAAAGAAAATATCTTCAATTTTATAAAAATTTTTGTATATTGCAGATATTGAAGCAGAAAAGCATAGTAAAAAGCAAACGGATAGAAATGCCACTACACAGGTAAATATTTTGCTAAAGCATTATATTTCTCTAGTACAAAATTTAGGCTATAGGCATTACACATAGTATTTATTCAGCATGCTCAGAATTTCTTAACCAAGTAATTGTACTGGCTGTTGTTTCTATTCTTTTTTTTTTTTTTTTTGCTTCATTGTCAATCAATCAACAATTTTTGTTCATTCACTCAAATATTTACTCATTCCACTGTGAGAAGATAAGAATGTTATCCCAGAGCTTTCTCATAAGCTATGACCTGTCTGAGGTTCTAAATATTAAAACAAAAAGGACAGAGACCAGTCTGGCTTATAGTCACAGGTTCTTATTAAACTTTATTAACTTCATGATTTCTTCTAACATCTTGGAAGTAGGGGATTCAACATTTTCAGTCTGTTCTCAACCCAGTAACCATTATTGATCCTATAAATGTAACTCATTTCAAGTCACTCCTTTACTTGAAACCCTTTCATGGCATCCCATCTCACAGAGTAAAACCAGTGCCTTACATGTTAGGCTCTGTGGTCTGGCCCCATATTTCAATTCTGACATTATCTCCTACTACTGTCTCCTTTACCATTCTGGACACATTGGGCTCTGTGCTATTCCTCAGAAGCCCCAGGCATGCACCCACCTTTCTGCTCTTTCTGGCTGGAACATCCTGGAACCCAGATAACCATGTGGCTCCCTGCCTTCACCTTCTTCAGATCTTTGCTCAACTGTCATCTTTTTGGAGGATCCTTCCCTGACCATTCTGTAAATTTGCAATCACACCATTTTTAAAATTGCAAGCCCTACCACAACACCTTCTGTCTGTCTCCCTTCCCTGCTATATTTGACCTCTCAGAGTTATCACTATGTAACATGTCATATTTTGTTATGTTTGTTCTCATTCTCCCTCCACTGGAATATAAATTCCATGGGAGTAGGGGTTTTTGTCTGTGTTGATCACTGCTATTATCCCAGCAACTAGAACAGTGTCCTACACATAGCAGGCACTCAATAAATGTTTACTGAAAAATCAATAAATCTTAAATCATAATTAAAGAAGTAAACTTTGAGAAAATGTTTATATAAATTAAAAATTCCTCCTTACATCGCCACATTTTGTAAACTCCTCCAAATTTAGCTGTTCCCCATTACCCTAACTAAAACATTCCATAATGAGCAATGGGATTATTATCTGCAGAAATAGAAGTGACCTTGGCATAAGCTCAGAGTTTATCCTTAGACAGGTGGAAGCTAAAAAGACACCAGTTTCATCAGGTCATTTGGCCTTCCCTTGTGGGCTCTTGATATCTTGTGATATGCAGTGCCTGCCCAATAACATATGAAAGCACCCTTTGAAATTAAGGAGCTCCATGAGATCGAGGGCGCTGATCATAGGTATCCTCCCCAATGCCCAGCATTAGTCAATGAGGCCCATATAGTAAATATGGAAAGAACCCTAGCCCTACCCATGTAAAGCCAAGCAAAAGATATATAAACTATACTAAAAGATCTCAGAATATGGAAAAAACAAAAGTACTATCTTCATGTCAAAAATGAGAAAACAGAGGGGGAGGAGCAAGATGGCAGAGGAGTAGGAGACCTAAATTTCATCTGGTCCCAGGCATTCAGCTGGATAGGGATCAAACCATTCTGAACACCTACGAACTCAACAGGAGATCGAAGAAAAGAATAGCAACAACTCTCTGAACACAAAAGCGACCACTTTCTGGAAGGTAGGACATGCAGAGAACTGAATCCGAGGCGATATTCGGGAGGATAGACAGCAGAGGAGGGGGCCTCCGTCAGCTGCTACCGGCAAGTGGTAGAGCAGACGAGCACAAAATCGGAACTTTTAGAAGTCGGCTCCGCTGAGGGATGTCACTCCAGTGGCTAAGCGGGGGATGGAACGCTCTCGGGGACAGTGTGGTCTCAGGACCCTCAGGGTCACACAAAGACCGGGGCTGCCTGAGTGCAGCAGAGCTCCCAGGTATCAAAGCAGGGAAGCTGGCTGCAGAGATGGAGCCGAGGAGGAGTGGGCTCTCAGCTCGGGATTGCCATAAACCATGATCCGCGGCCCAGTCGGGCCACTGCTCTTCCATCAGGGACGCAACAAGTGGCAGATCCGGGGAGACTCCCCTTCCTCCCCCGGGAGGAGCGGTGCGGGAGCACACTGCAGGGATCTGCTGGGTTTGGAGACTCCACACGGGGTCGGGTGCCAGAGATAAAAACACTCAGTCACAGGCCGGGTGAGCACGGAGTGCGGCTGGAGACCAGGGAGACGGGAGTGACTGACTGCTTTTCTCTGGGGACGCACTGAGGAGTGGGGCCCCGAGTTCTTGGCTCCTCCAGGGCGGAGATTGGGAGGCCGCCATTTTCACTCTCGTCCTCCAAAGCTGTACGGAAAGCTCCCAGAGAACAAAAGCTCCCGAGAGCGAACCCGAGCAGATTACTTAGACCAGACCCGGCAAAGGCGGGGCAATTTTGCCTCTGGCAAAGACATTTGGAAACCATGGCAACAGGCCCCTCCCCCAGAAGATCAGCAAGAACAGCCAGCCAAGACCAAGTTTACCAATCAATGAGAATGGCCGATCACCAGCACTAGGGGAATACAAAACATAGAATTCATAGCTTTTTTCCCATGATTTTTTAGTCTTTCCAAGTTAATGGTTTTTTTTAACTTTTTCTTTCTTTTTTTTTGAATTTTTCTTTTTCCTTTTTCAACCAACATCTTCCAATCCCATTGTTAAAAAAATCTTTTTTATTTTTCATTTTTAGAGTTATATTCTATCCCTTCATAGTAGTTAACCTTATTTTTGGTATATATATATATAAGTTCTCTCTTTAAAATTTTGGGATACAGTTTCTTCTAACAGACCAAAATATACGCTGAATCTCTAGTGTATGGCTTTGTTCTAGTCTCCTGCCTGATCACATTCTCTCCCATTTTCCTTTTTCTTTTTAAATCCTCTTCTTTCTTTTTTCAACCAACTTCTTATATTAGCAATTCCTTTTATAAAATCTGTTGTAATTTTCATCTTTACAGTCGTAATCCATCCCTTCATCATATTTACCCTTATTTTTGTACATATATAACTTTTTTTTTCTTTAAAATGTTGGGAGGCAATTTCTTCTAACAGACCAAAATATGCCCAAAATCTAGTGTGTGGCACTGATCTATGCACCAGCCTGATCATATTTGATCATATTCTGTTTTTTTGTTTCTTTGTTTCTTTTTATCTTTTTCTTTTTTTTTTTCCTCTTTTTTCTATCTTTCGCTTCTTTTCCCCTGGTTCCCGGTCTCTTCTGATTTGTTTAGTGTATATTTTTCTGGGGTAGTTTTTACCCTGTTAGCATTTTGTTCTCTTATTCATCTATTCTCCTCTGGACAAAATGACAAGATGGAAAAAATCACCTCAAAAAAAAGAACAAGAGGCAGTACCGACTGCCAGGGACCTAATCAATATGGATATTAGTAAGATGTTGGAACTAAAGTTCAGAATGATGATTTTAAAGATACTAGCTGGGCTTGAAAAAAGCATGGAAGATATTAGAAAAACCCTTTCTGGAGAAATAAAAGAACTAAAATCTAACCAAGTCGAAATCAAAAAGGCTATTAATAAGGTGCAATCAAAAATGGAGGATCTCACTGCTAGGAAAATGAGGCAGAAGAGGGAATTAGTGATATAGAAGACCAAATGAGGGAAAATAAAGAAGTTGAGAAAAAGAGAGATAAACAAACACTGGATCATGAGGGCAGAATTCAAGAGATAAGTGACACCATAAGACGAAACAATATTAGAATAATTGGGATCCCAGAAGAAGAAAGAGAGAGAGGGGCAGAAGGTATATTAGAGCAAATTATAGCAGAGAACTTCCCTAATGTGGGGAAGGAAACAGGCATCAAAATCCAGGAGGCACAGAGAACCCCCCTCAAAGTAAATAAAAATAGGTCAATATCCCGACATCTAATAGTAAAACTTACAAGTCTCAGAGACAAAGAGAAAATCCTGAAAGCAGCTCGGGAGAAGAGATATGTAACCTACAATGGTAGAAACACAATATTGGCAACAGACCCATCCACAGAGACCTGGCAGGCCAGAAAGGACTGGCATGATATATTGAGAGCACTAAAAGAGAAAAATATGCAGCCAAGAATACTATATCCAGCTAGGCTCTCACTGAAAATACAAGGAGAGATAAAAAGCTTCCATGACAAACAAAAACTAAAGGAATTTGCAAACACGAAAACAGCCCTCCAAGAAATATTGAAAGGAGTCCTCTAAGCAAAGAGAGAGCCTAAAAGTAACATAGACCAAAAAGGAAAACAAACAATATACAGTAACAGTCACCTTACAGGCAATACAATGGCACTAAATTCATA